CCCCCAGCACCGATGCTAATGAGCAAACTGCAGTGAGCTGGAGAGCAAATGGATATGAGTCACCAAATACACTTAGCAGGCGCTTCCTGCTTAGCCTCCTGCGTCATTGCAGAGATGCTTGTTCCTTAGCAGCCTGGGTCAAAGTCACAGTCGCACAACTGTACATTGCTGGGAGAGCTGCTGATCTGAAGATGTACACCAATTTGTACTTATGAAATCTGCGCACATACATCCCCTTGTCAGGGGTTTGCATTCAGGTTGAAATATTTGCTCTTAAATGAATATTACAGTAAGAGCACTCTTCTAATATATATTGCTTTATCAAGACCAGAAAGCCAAACAAAAAGGATTGAGAAAAAGCCTACTTTTTTGTCCAAATGTAAACAAACGTACCCTTGAGAATCAGGTAATGACAAGAACCACTAAGCCGCCCAAAGTAGGGAAACATTGAATGCAGCCCCGTGGGAGCCTGGTTCTGTGTGGTTTTGTTAGTTTATTTTTGTTTTGTGCCTTCCTAATCATGGATGCTACAAATGGGGAAAGGGAGAAGTTTGTGGCTTCAGGGCTTTCCTGAGAATGCATCACAGCATCCAATAAATAGTCAAAAGCAGCAGATGGAGGACAGAATGATTTCTGATTAGCCCCTGGGAAGGAGGTGACGCACTTTGCGTATGTGGGCTACTAATGGGAACAATGTTAATTTCAAGTTTATGTTGCTTAACAAATGATGTGATGACTTGATGAGTGGCTAAGAGTTCAGTGAAGGACATTTTTATTTTTAAAAATGATTTTTGTCAACCAGTAGGAGTGAACATAATGAGGCAAAACTTGGGTTCAGTGGGAACTCTCTCAATGCTTGAGTTTAATTAGTTGATTTAATTAATTGTGCTTAGTCCCCACAATTATTTAAGACACTCTATGAAAGAGTATATGATATAACCAAGTAAGCAAAAGAGGAAATAATGATGAAAAAACAACAAATAACAAATATAAGGTGAGGTTAGTTCACAGTTTGCATGACTGAGGTTTCCTTTACAGATCCTTGTGGTAGGCGATAGATTTGGCTTTGGTAATAAAGGTAGAGAGGACAATATGAATAATTAATGGTTTAGTGTCTATCGGATGAAAACAAACCAGTTGCTTAAGAGAGGCCCTGCTGTTTTACACTGAGTAGTGAGTAAAATTTGACTGAAAACGTCAGTAAACCTGTACAAGTTTAGAGAGCCACTGAATGATAGGTATTTGGGTCTGATGGACATTACTTAATTAACTTCTTGAAGACATTATATTTAAAAATGTAACAACTAACATTTTAGTATTAAAAATGCCAAAAATTAGAATTCAAATACCTATCAAAAAAAAGGGGAGTGGGTTTAAATGGAAAACATTTTAAATGTTTAGCAGTTAATGGAAATAAACTTTCATTTTTATGGTTGTAAAATAATATATCAAATATATCAATCTACTAAATTGAGTAGTAGAAAATGTTACTAAACAGTGCAAAGATGGACAGGACTTAGAAGCAGGTCTGTTAATACTGTGAAACCTCTCTGGCAATTGTAATTGTGGGCATTCAGAAGACTCAAAGCAAAGGAACACTGAACCACAGCTCTCTTCACAGTTACTGTGAAACTTTAAATTAGCCCGGTAAAATTGCAGACCCTTCACATTTATTGACAGACCATTTTATGTTAAAGATAGTAAAAAAGAAAACTGCTTCTGAAAAGTGTTTTCAGCCTAGATGGCATACAAAAGAATTAGTTTATTAATTTTCTAAGCACTTTTATATAATAATATTTAAAAAAACAGAAAAACATTCAGATATGAATATGTAATCTACATTTTTTGGAAGATAGGGTAGGCTTATAAATAATATAAAGATGCCTTATGCATATTCAAATACATGCAAATAAAATTGAGTTTTTAAAATTTATCTGATGAGTAAAATTCTGAAGCTTGTTTATGTGCAATACTGATGAAGCTTAAGGGAAAAGACATGCTTATTCTCTCTAGTTGGGAATATGATTTAGAGAAAATATTTTGGAGAAAAAATTTGAACATGTAAAAGAAGTTTTTAAAGGCACATACTCTTTAATAACTTGTATTTCTAACATTTTACTCTATGAACATGTTGTCTATGTTCATCAAGGTCTGGTATAAGAATGTTCATTGCATGGTTTCTTGTAAAGGAAAAAAATAGAAAAGTAATCTAAGTTTATATCTTGAAAGCAATGGTGAAACATGTTTGATGCATCCAATTATGTATTTATATGTAGCTACTAAAAAGAATATTCTAAATATATATATATATACATACATAGATATACATGTATGTATATATACACATTTATATGTGTGTATATATACACATACATTTATACATACGTGTGTGTGTGTGTATATATATACACATATACATATGCATGCTTGCTATTTTAGAAGGAACTCTAAAATCTATTGGTAAGTGGGGAAGAGAAACAAATCATAGTATAGCTTATTTTCTGAAAATAAAAGAGCAATAGAGACAGATGTGGTTAGATAGAAAAAAGAAGACAGATAAGATTGGTGTTTGGGGTGATGGAAGAGTGGATGGCACAGGCTGGCTCTGAATGGACAGAGTTTGGAAACTTCTGAGATCATGCACATGTGTGATAATAGAAGGGAAAAAATACAGGAACAAGTCATGTCTATGAATCATCTGTATCACTTATACTTGAGGTAAATCTCAAAATCATATGGCCATCTCTTCTACCTCAGCCCTGCCCTGGGGCATATGATTCTGTGTCAAATGCGCCAGTCGTATGATTCAGAATCTCTGGCTCAGGGCTCAGAGACTGGCACTTGTCACAAGCTTCCCTAGTATTTTTGGCCTCACAATGTCCGAAAACCAAAAGAGTAACTCTCAGTTTTGGAGTGTGGAGAAACTGTGTAGCTGGAACCTCTTGATCTTTCTTCCTCCTCCTGTAACCTTCTGTGAGGTCCAGAGGCATTCCCTCTGAGAACTGGAACAAGACAAGGATGGCTACTTTCACGCTTCTATTCAACATAGTACTAGAAGTCCTAGCTGGAGCAATCAGACATGAAAAAGAAACACAGAACATCCAAATCAGTAAAGAGATAGTCAGAGTGTCCCTGGTTGCTGATGATATGATCCTATACCTAGAAAACCATAAAGACTCCTCCAAAAGGCCTCTAGAACTATAGATGAATTCAGCAAAGTTTCAGAATACAAAATTAGCATACACAAATCAGTAGCTCTGCTATACACCAATAACAACCATGCTGAGAACCAAATCAAGGACTCAACCTCTTTTACAATAGCTGCAACAAAAAAATAATAAAATAAAATACTTAGGAATACACCTAACCAAGGAGGTGACAGATCTCTACAAGGAAAATTACAAAAACTGCTGAAAGAAATCATAGACAACACAAACAAATGGAAGCACACTCCATGCTCATGGATGGGGAGAGTCAATATTGTGAAAATGACCATACTACCAAGAGCAACATACAAATTCAATGCAATTCCCATCAAAATACCACCATCATTGTTCACAGAACTAGAAAAATAATCCTAAAATTCATATGGAACCAAAGGGCTCACATAGCCAAAGCAAGACTAAGCAAAAAGAACAAACCTGGAGGCATCACATTATCTGATTCCAAACTATACTCTAAGGCTATAATCACCAAAACAGCATGGTACTGGTATAAAGATAAGCACATAGGCCAATGGAACAGAATATAGAACTCAGAAATAAACCCAAATATTTACAGCCAACCGATCTTTGACAAAGCAATAAAAAATATCAAGTGGGAAAAGGACACCCTATTCAACAAATAGTGCTGGGATAACTGGCTAGCAACATGAAGAAGAATGAAACCGGATCCTCATCTATCACCTTATACAAAAATCAACTCAAGATGAATCAAGAGGATTACATCTTTTGGTCCCCTTCTATCACCTTTGTGGAAGCTTTCTCTCTCTCATCTTTTGCTCTCTTTTGGATTCCATACTTGGGTCTCCTTCCACAATCTCGTGGAAGCTTTCTCTCTCTCATCTTTTGCTATCTCTTTCTCTCTGCCTAAATAAATCACTTTCTGGAAAAAAAAAAAAAGAAGAATCAAGGACTTAAATTGAAGACCTGAAACCGTAAACATTCTAGAAGATAACATCAGAAAAACTCTTCTAGACATTGGCTTAGGCAAAGACTTCATGACCAAGAACCCAAAAGCAAATGCAACAAAAACAAAGACAAGTAGATGGGACTTAATTAAACTAAAAATCTTCTGCATAGCAAAAGAAACAGTTAACAGAATAAACAGATAAACCACAAAGTGGGAGAAATCTTTAAATCGCTGTATCTGATGAAGAACTAGTATCCAGAATCTACAGGGAACTCAAATCAGCAAGGGAAAAACAAACAATCCCATCAAAAAGTGGGCTAAGGACATGAACAGAGAGTTCTCAAAAGAAGATATACACATAGCCAACAAAAAATGATCAGCATCACTAATGATCATGGAAATGTCAATCAAAACCACAATGCAATACCACTTTACTCCTGCAAGAATGGCCATAATAAAAAATTAAATATAACAGATGTTGGTGTGGATGGGGTGAACAGGGTACACATCTATACTGCTGATGGTAATGTAAACTGGTACAATCGCTTTGGAAAACAGTTTGGAGAGTCCCGAAAGGACTAAAAGTAGAACTACCATTTGATACAGCAGTTCCACTACTGGGTATCTATCCAGAAGGAAAAAGTCCTTATAAAAAAAAGATACTTGCACATCCATATTTATAAATATAAAATATGCAGTTGCATAAGTATAGAAGTATGGAGCCAGCCCAAATACACATCAATCAACAAGGGGATAAAAAATTGTGAGCTATATATATATGTATCTTTTTTCTATACATGTAGAAGAATGAATTATATTCAGCCACAAAAATGAATGAATTTATGGCATTCACAGAATTTTGGATGGAATTAGAGACTATTATTCTAAGTGAAGTAACTCAGGAATGGAAAGCCAAATATTGTATATTCTCATTCATAAGTAGGAGCTAAGCTAGGAGGATTCAAAGGCATAGAATGATACTATGGACTTTGGGGACTCAGGGGAAAGAGTGGGAGGGGGTGAAGGACAAATGTTTACAAATTGAGTTCATTGTATACCGCTTAGGTGATGGTTGCACCAAAATCTCACTAATCACCACTAAAAACTTATGTAACCAAATACTACCTGTTCCTGCAAAACCTATGGAAATAAAAAATTTTAAAAAACTGTGTGACACTTCCTCCTGACCATTAAGAAACAAAACAAAACAAAACAAAGTGGACCCCATGCCTTGCATTCCAATGGCAAAACCTGCTTAACTTGCTGCAGAATAACTTGTTGAAATCTGAACTGTTGGAAAATGTCTCCTATAGAATGTTTGTCATGGTCCAAACATCTTATTGTCACTGTAAACTCCTTCTTAAGGAGACATGTTAATTAATTTAATCATTTGGCTTCTTGGGATTCCCAGGACTACCTTCATTTACGTGAATATATAATAGTTCTGCCACAAATCACCTGCAGAAGTGAGTGCATTCACATCATCTCATTGAGCACTAAGTTTAGTCCCTGAAGACTGAAAGAGGAGAAAAATAGCCAGCTGCAGAGAGTCTTGGGCTCTGTGACTGCTAAGCTGAAGAAGACAGGAGGAGGTTTGTACACTTCATTTTAGAGTAATAGAATGGTCTGCAAATCAGGAGCTGCAAAAATGATAAATGAAGATGTTGAACAGGAGATTTTCTAGCTTATTTATAAAAATGTATCGAAGGAAACCTTAAAGTAGTATACAGTTCAAGTCTTTCTTCCATATATCATCTCCTTTTTCCATTTCCCCAATTTTATGCCATATTGATAGACCACAATTTTACGGTGTCTTTAAAACATTGGTTTTGGGGTCACATAAAAATGTTCAAATCCTGGCTTCACCACCAACGGTAGTAGTGTAGATAATAGTATTTGACAAAAACTTAACCTCCTTGCAACTCGATTCTTTAGCTGACAATAACAGCACTGAACTTAAACATATGTAAAGATTAAATGAAATAAAGCTTGTGAAAAATTTAACTAAAAAAATTGATTACTAATAAAAAGCTCACGAAAGCTTGTAGAACAAGGATATAAAGAAAGAAAATACCATACAGTGTATTTGTGTGTTAAGCTGAGTGTTATTACAAGAATCAAAAAGTTAAAAAATGAAAACACTAAAAGAATAAACTTACGATAAGCTAAGGTGAATTTATTATTGAAGAAAGTGAAAGGTTGTTTTATAAATTTAGTGTATCCTAAGTGTACTGTGTTTATAAAGTATACAGTAGTCATGTCCTAGGCCTTCACATTCACTCACCACTCACTCACTGATTAACCAGAGCAGTTTCCAGTTCTGCAAGCTCTGTTAATAGTAGGAACAATAAGAACCTGCCCTTTACAGGTGTAGCAATGATCATTTATACCATGTTTTTATTGTACCTTTTCTTTGTTTAGATACACAAATACTTTCCATTGTGTTAAATCTGCCTACAATATTTGGCACATGCTGTACTGAATACAAATTTGTAACACGCTGTATAGGTTTGTAGCCTAGGAGCAATAGGCTGTATCATATGACCTAGGTGTGTAGTAGGCTATACCATGTGTGTGTGTAAGTATACTCTATGGTGTTCCTGCAAGGACGAAATCACCTAAGGATGCGTTTGTCAGAACACATCCTCATCACTAACTGACACCTGACTGTTTATCACTATTGTTTGAGATGAAGAAATGAAATCTCAGTAAAAAGCCATACTTTTGTTTAAGCAGGATGGTATTATATTCACTAGCTTCTATTTTAATTTAATTGTTTTCCATCTGCAATTCTTTCTCCCCATACCACATTCTTCTCAGGCTTCAGTGTTTAATTCTAGTCTCACCTCTTCCAAAAATCCTTCCACTTTGCAGTCTCATACTGATTTCCAACTTCTCTACGTACTTTTGCATATAGAGTATGAATTATTTTAACATTTTATTGTACACTGTTTTCAGCAATTGCTTTATATGTTTGCCATGTCCTCCAAATTAGACTGTTAAAGTCCTTTAGGGTAGATGGGATGCTAAGACATGTCTTAGCAATATTGTATTCCTAGTGCTTCTAACAGACTCAGAACATACTAGCTGCTTGGGAATACATAATTTATTGATTAAATCAATTTACTCAGTTGTCGGCAAAATGAGAGCAAAGAGAGTTAGATTTTTCTTGGGTGCATGGAATGAATCAGAAGGCTGATCAAAGCTATAAAGAAGGTTATGAGAAATAGAAGTAGGCTGGGCATGGTGGCTCATGCCTGTAATTCCAGCCCTTTGGGAGGCTGAGGTGGGTGGACCACTTGAAGTGAGGAGTTCAAGACCAGCTTGGCCAGCGTGGTAAAACTCTGACTCTACGAAAAATACAAAACTTAGCTGGGGGTGGTGGTGGGTACCTGTAATCCAAGCTACTTGGGAGGCTGAGGCAGGAGAATTGCTTAACCCCAGGAGGTGGAAGTTGCAGTGAGCCCAGATTGTGCCAGTGAGCTCCAGCCTGGGCAATAGAGTGAGAATCTGTTTCAAAAAGAAGAAAAAAGTAAAACGTGACATATGATGATAGAGTTGAGAATGTCTGCAGTCAAACTTCATGAGCTTCACAGATTTCTTAAAGCTAACTTGATTCTAACTTTGCTTACCCAAATTTGCCAAAGTGAACGTTTGTGAAAGGTGGGTGAATGACATAACTGAAGCATAAACGAAGCTCTGCAAGCCCTGGCACTATTATCTTGGCTAATGTTTCTGACAAAGGCATACTCCCTGCTGTTGAGGTAATTAAACATAATTATTAGAAGCCATGGCCGACTCCTAGTTTTTAGACTAAAGGCTTAATTGATCTTTCTTTCATCAAGGTGTCTCCTAAGGAGCCCTAGATTAATTTATCTACTTTACTCTTGGATTATGAGGGTGAAAGTTGCTGGCAACCGGAAACATGACCACTTTCTAGAACATTGTTCTAACCCCTGAAATCTGGCTGTGATTGAATTATCATGCAGATGTAGTGTGGGGTTTATGACTTCATATTATATGTAGGTGTTCTCTGGGCATTGGTGTAACCCTAAACATAATGAAAAGTCTATTGAAATCTTTGTCTGTGCGTCTGAGTAGTAAATGCATGGAGTTTTACTTTTTTATGTCTCTTACATACATGAATACATTTGCCAGATTCTGGCCCATTAGCATTATTGACCCTAGGAAGATTTGTTTGCTAGTTATACAAGAGGGATAACTTTTTTTCCACTTCCCCAATATACAAAACTCATGCAGAAAAAAATTACAGGCTTTATTACTTGCTAATTTCCTTTATTGTAGACAAGAAAACTGCCAAGCATATGTTCTGAGGGATAATATTTACAATTAATTACATGTACAGTATTTTCCCCTTATCTGTAGGGGATACCATCCAAGCCCCGCAGTGGATGCCTGAAACCTTCCTTGGTTAGTACTGAGCCCTAAACTGACAGTCCCTGACTTAACAATGGTTCAATTTACAGGTTTTTAACTTCATGATGGTGTGGAAGTGATATGCATTCAGTGTGCTCTTTGACTTAGGAGGGAGTTATGTCCACATAAACCCATCAGTTGAAAAATACTGTAAGTTGCAAATGCACTTTTGACTTACAATATTTTCAGTTTATAATTGATAAATCAGTTTGTAACCCCATTGTAAGTTAAGGAGTATCTGTATATACAGTAGTATTTTTCCTATATGTACATACCTATGATAAAGTCTAATTTATACATTAAGAACAGTCAGAGATTTACAACAATAGCTAATAAAATAGGACAATTATAAAAATAGGCCAGCATCACTTCTTTTGTACTTTGGGGCCATTTTTAAGGGTTACTTGAATACAAACAGTGCGATATCTCACCATTCAATCTGATAACCCAGACAGCCACTAAGTGACTAACAGGTAGGTTGTGTATACAGTGTGGATACAATGGACAAAGGGATAATTCTCATCCTGGGCAGGACTTGGGACAGAGTGAGATTTCATTATGCTAGTCAGGATGGCTCACTATTTTTAACTAATGAATTGTTCACCTCTGGAATTTTCTATTTAATATTCAGATTGCAGTTGTGCTCAGGTAACTGAAACTGGATAAGTGAAACTGTGGATAAGAGGTGACTACCGCAATTCTTTATTTGCTACATCCATGCTGATGAACATGTGCTAATAATTACATTAAATACTCTTTCTATCTCTTATGTAAAAGGACACATATTTTGCATTGTAGCATTTTTAGTTACGTTTTTATCAAACATAGATTTTCTGATTATAGTTCATATATAAGATCTCAAATTAATAGAAGTTGAATGATGACTGTTTTTAAGGTCACAGATCCAGTTTTAAAATCAATGTTGGCTTAATATAATCTGCAAATACGCAAGCATCTTGCACTTAAGAACGTATTTGCTCAGGCAGGACACGCCTACTTTCTTTACTGAGTAACTACCTAAATTATTTTGATTGCCAATTCTACTAATCACATTACTTCCTTGGTCCCTTTCTTGCATGGTTTTATCTTTCAATTCTCTGTCTCTTTAATTTCCACTTTTTCACCCTAACTTAAATCGTCTTAGTTAGTGGAAAGAAAACATTATTATGCACTCCTACATTTAAACTAATCATTTAAAATGAGTATCCTCTGATGTGTTGGATAGGCATCATAAAAACGGGATAAAATGCCACAATTTGCCAGTGAATGGCCAGAATATTTATTTATAAATTCAGATATGAAGTGTGCACATTTTCTTTTTTTTTGAGACAGAGTCTCACTCTGTCACCAGGCGCCAGGCTGGATTGCAGTGGCACGATCTCAGCTCACTGCAAACTCCGTCTCCCTGGTTCAAGCAATTCTCCTGCCTCAGCCTCCTGAGTTGCTGGGACTACAGGCGCGCACCACCACACGCAACTAATTTTTTTGTATTTTTAGTAGAGATGGGGTTTCACCATGTTGGCCAGGATGGTCTTGATCTCTTGACCTTGTGGTCTGCCCGCCTCGGCCTCCCAAAGTGCTGGGATTACGGGCGTGAGCCACCATGCCCAGCCACGAAAAGTGCACATTTTCTGAGCATCTTCTATAGGTCAGGTATTGTACTAGGAGCTTTACATACATGATCTTGCTTGACCTTTACCTTGAGGTGGGTAGTCTTATTATTCTACAGATGAAATTGAAAAAGGGTTTCAGGGAGAGAGGGAGTTAGTACCTATCCAGCCATCTGGCTGGTAACAGCCAAAGCTATTATTTAAACCTTTGTATTTTGTAACTGTCTTGCCTGTTTACAGGGAAACAGTAAAACTAGAAAAGTTGTTTGCTGTTCAACATGACAATGACCCAGTAATTCCTTTGGAAAATGGCAGTCTGGGCAACTCCACTGACCCAGGTTCTACTTCCATGACTTTTGTACTCAGGGTGCCTGTGTTTGTACTAGATAGGGTGAACTGGCTGTGTTCCTTCTCCAGGAGAAGTTTTTGTTACAGCCCATTTTGTAGAAAATAAGTTGTCTATTTACATTGCTGTGGTACAACTGTCACCTAGTTTGAGGAAGTATTTGAGCTAAGGTGCTGGAAAGATAAATTTTCTTGGAACGAAAACTCTAATAATAAACTGAGAAGACCATATCTCATAGAATTATTATGCTGTGACATCAGTAGACCTCAGGAGGGAAAGGGGAGGGGGTGGAGGTAGTGATGGCGGGCAGAGGGCTGCTAGAAGAAGGAGAGGACCCACCCCAATAAAACTGTCTACCATTTTGTAGAACTTGTTTATTTGCATGTACAGAGTATACACCATTGAATGTTTGGTAAAACAGTGTTAGTGCAATGGTTGAAGACATTATTAAAAAGAGCATAAAGTTTTTAATCTGTTAGATTTATGTATCACTTAGAGATGTGCCAGTATTAGTCAGGGCTCTCCGGAAGGACAAGACCAGCAGGATGGATATATAGACAAAAGTGAGTTTATTAAGGAGTAATGACTCACACAATCGCAAGGTGAAGTCCCACAATAGGCCCTTTGCAAGTTGAGAAGCAAAGAAGTCAGTCCAAGTCCCAAAACCTCAAATGTAGGGAAGCCTAAAGGCCCTGGAAAATCACTGGTATAAGTCCAAAGGTCCAAAAGCTGAAGAACTTGCAGCCTGATGTTTGAGGGCAGGAAGCATCCAGCACTGGTGAAAGATGGAGGCCAAGAGACTCAGCCTGTCTCATCCTTCCACGTTCCTCTGCCTGCTTTTCTCCCAGCAGTGCTGGCAGCTGATTAGATGGTGCCCACCCAGATTGAGGCTAGGTCTGCCTCTCCGAGTCCACTGACTCAAATGTTCATCTTTTTTTGGCAACACCCTCATAGACACACCCAGGAACAATACTTTGCATCCTTCAGTCCAATCAAGTTGACATTCAGTATGAACTACCACAGTGCTATTAGTAATTTATAAGACCATTGGAAAGTTTTTTAATTCCTTTGAAATTGGGACAACCCCATCTACCAGGGCTGTGTGGTGTGGATATTTGTACTAATTTTACGAGTGTCATTCCTGCTTTCTTTTCTGGAATGTAACATTTTTAATGTTGGTTTTCAGTCATCAAGGTTTTATTTAAAAAGAAAAAAGACACAGTTAACTTTCAAATTGATTTTTTTTCCCTTGGCTTTTTTTTTTTCTTCTTTTTTTTTTTGAAACGGAGTCTCACTGTTTTGCCCAATCTGGAGTGCAGTGGTGCAATCATGGATCAGCGGATGCTACTGTTTTATCATATATAGGAGCTACAGAAGTAGGGATATTTAAATAGAGATTCACATTCTGTGATGAAAACTTACTTTGTGGCTAAAGAGAACCTCACCGACGGGATTACCTTTTTCTATTAAAGAGAGCTAGTATAATATAGTGAAAGCAAAAGAGAGCTTTGGAATAAAAACCTTGCACTTCAGTTGGCTCCATTCTTAGTAGTTGAGAGTCTTTAGTTTAGATACCTACCGTTCCATAAGTCATGGTTCATCATCTATAAAATGTTGACAACTAAAATTCTAACGCTGTTGTTGAGAGGCTTACATATATAAAAAAGTATTTCATGGAAACATTTAATATTAACACTTAGTATTATATCCACCCAAAAGACCAAAGTATCATGAATCCTGATGAACCAATGTAATGGTGGCATCAAGGTAGTATGAAGAGGAAAAATGAGGGATAATATAAAATAGATTTTAAAATGAAACAAAAGTCAATTTGGTGTCATCCTGGATTGACTAGCTTCACTTTCAGCATGAAGACTTGCCTAGGTAATAAAGCTGATTAGCACTGATGGTAGAAGAGCCAAGCTTTGTGGCTGGGCAGATGAGAAGATGAATGAAGAGCTTCTTTTCAGTTTGTTTTCCCTTCCCTTACCCCTTTTTTTGTTTTGAGACGGAGTCTCCCTCTGTTGCCCAGGTTGGAGTGCAGTGGTGCAATCTCGGCTCACTGCAACCTCTGCCTCCCGAGTTCAAGCAATTCTGCCTCAGCCTCCTGAGTAGCTGGGATTACAGGCACGTGCCACCACACCCGGCTAATTTTTGTATTTTTAGTGGAGACAGGGTTTCACTATGTTGTTCAGGCTGGTCTCAAACTCCTGACCTCTTGATCCACCCGTCTTGGCCTCCCAAAGTGCTGGGATTACAGGCATGAGCCATTGCACCTGGCCTTCCCCTACACATTTTTAACAAAAACTTTCACCCTGATGGTTCCTTTCAGAACCTTTCAGGCTGCTTAGGTGAGTAATTAGGCATTAACTAGCCCTACCTAATTATTAGGCAATAATTGGAAGGTGAGTTTTCCCAGCTTCTTGATATGGTTTACTGACTATTATTCAAACTGGTTAGTATGGTTGACAGCCTCTTCCAAATGTAAAGCACACCATTGTTTTTATGAAAACCTCAGCTCAAATAGTGGCATGCATGTCACTTTCACATACAACTCGGAAATACCACTTAGAAATTTTAGCTTCTTTGGCCTGTCTGCAGAGAATATGTGCTGGGAAGATGAGTTTGTAACCACGATGACACAAGGACTTGATGAAGAGCTGCTATTTAGAGGTTCAATAGTCTTCATCTTAACTGTCAGTGAAAATTGTTGTATAAGGACAGCTATGAGAAAAACATTTGTAAAAAGTTTTTGAAAGAGCAATCGCAAATTGCTGATGAAAGTAGATGAAGCCATGAAAAAGATTTATGAAGACTAATTTAGAATTGAATAGTGTTATGAGACACTTTTGGAATTCCACAGTGTGGCTGGGGCCAGGAGGGAAGGGATGAGAAAGAGTAGAATACTGAATACTATTTGCCAGCAGACGCATTAGGCCTACAGCTCAGCTCTCAGCTGTAAAATTCACCGCACTCTGGGCATATTGGTTGTGGGAAATGCCTATGATTTTCCCAGCCTGCCTCTCTCAGCAGGCTTTGAGTGCAAGTTGTCTCAAAGGCTATAAGAAACACACAGGAAAGGAGCAGTGAAAGAACATAATTGAAAAAAAAAAAGAAATAGCAATGAAGTATTAATTGAAGCAATTTTTAAAAAAATAT